AAATTATTGGTGAAATATTTGGATTTATTATTTCTACCAATATTCTTTTTTATGTATTTTTCATTTGTGATTTTTTGCAAATGAATTATTGCATACTTGATAAATTGATAAGCTAGTTGATAATGCGATGATTAATTGATGAAAACTTGATTTAATTAAACTTGATTCAATTTAACTTGATTTGATTAAAACTACGAACTTGATTAAAATTAAACTTGATTGAAAACTTGATTCAATGATTTAATTTGTAATTGAAATGATTTCAGTATTGATCTTAATAATATGAGGATATTTTGATTAAATTCAAGAAGGCCAATTTATTATGTTGATAAATTCAAAATCTTATATAAGGAAAGAAACAATGCAAAAACAATAAAATAATTAAAATTGAGGGAAACAAGAAAGAGAGAGAGAGAGAGAGAGTAAGAAAAAGGAGGAGAAATGCTTAATGGTGGTATTTGAGCAATATTTAAAGAATAAAAATTTTATTTCAGTTATTAAATTTTATTTCAGTTATTAAGTCTTTTTTTCAGTTATTTAATTTTAATTATTAAATTATCTTCTTCTTCAGTAGAGAACAAAAATTAACAAATAAAAGTAAATCAGAAAATAAAGATGCAATGAAATATGATAGTAACGAGGAGAAGATCACCATCATCTTTAATATTAATTGTTGTATTTAAGAAAATTTTTTGAAAATTATATTTTTGACACCAAAATCGATAAATTGATTTAATCTAATCTCAGAAATAAAACAGGTAAGCTGTTGAAATACTTTTTAATCAACTGCAGATAACTGGCTATTAGAATGCTATGATTTATATTCCCATTTCATGCTTAATTAATTGTTCCAAAATTCTAATTCAGTCATTTTAAAAGCCTGAAATTCATTTAGATACAATGAAACAATTATTTCCAGCTATTTTACTATTATTTCATTTTTAATTAATAATTGCACGATTTTATTTCAGTCATTTTAAAGCTTTGATTTATATTTGCTTTCTTTTTTTTCTTTTTTTTTTTAAAAAAAAAAAGAGAAGCTCAATTAGCTTCTAATGAAATTTGTAAAATGATAATGATGCTAACGGCTTCAATGGAATATTTAGTAGTTGAAAATGAATAATTTTTAGAAAAAGTTTTGAAATTTCAATTAACCAACTACTTTCATTTATTAATACATGATTAATATCATTAATAATTAATGTAAACTTTTATCATCCGTCTTTTTCCATTAAACATTTTAAACAGGCTATCATAAATGTAAATTATTTGTTCAATAATGATATGACGTCATCAGGATGATTAGTCTCATTTATAATTTTGCATGTTTTGCTTTAAAGCTGTCATTATCAAATCTCTCATAACATCTGATAACTTCTACCGTTGGATTAATTTTCTACAACATATCGATAACGATCTTTAACCTTAATGATTAACTAATTAATCCATTTTATCAAGTTAAAATTTCATTTGTATCATTTTGTTTTTTTCTTTTCATCCTTCTAAATATCGTTTAAAAATTTGAAATTTTTATCACTGTAATGTATTGTTATGTGTTAATCTATTCATCTGTTATTTATTTTAAATTTGCTAAATATGTGGAAGGAATATTTTCAAATTAAAATTTTCATTAAATTTAAAATGTTACAAATTTATTAATTTTTGATGATTAAAGTTAATTCAATTACTTATTCATATCAAACATATGTTAGTAAATTTCGAAGCAAATTACTTTATCATAAATTGACATTTCATAAAATTTATCATGCTATTTGATTCGTCGCATTCATTTTTCTGCAATGATATCATTTTTAACTTATTAATGGTAATTAAACATTTCTTAAATTTGTTCATCAATTTACATTAATTTAGCAAATATTTTTGAATAAATTATTTTGCACTTAATATTTTAGTGTAAAAAAAAAGTTCATGGGTAGTTCATTTCATTTTTATTTCCCCAAAGTTCATTTTCTCCAATCAATGTCAGTAATTCAAAACGAAATGATTATTTTTGACGAAAAAAAAAAAAAAGGTTTCCAAACTTTTCATTTTTATTTTTTGAATGTAAAAAATTGATAGCTTGTAAAATAGACAAAGATGTTACAATTTTTCGTTTGTGCAACCAATAATACTTCAGCTATTGGTACTATTTTAACAAAAAGCTAAAAAAAAAAAAAAGAAATGGAAAAAAAAAAATGCTAAGGACGAAAATAAAATTTACGAAAGAAACAAAAAAAATGAAAAAAAAAAAATTTAGCATTTTGTATATAAAATAAACTTTGATAATAAATGCTTGCTGCATAATTTACAAAACATTTAAAATACATATATAAAAGAAATATTTTATGCTTAGGATTAAAAAGGAATAAAAGGGAAAGTTTTTTGAAATGAAAAATTTTTTTTAAACTAATCGATTCATTTTGTGGTATAATTTCACCAAGTTTGTTTAAAAAAAAAAAAAAAAAAGAAAAAAAAAAAGAAAAAGCACTGTTGAAGATTGTTAAGACAGCTGTCGCTTAACGGATGGATTAACCGGAATCACTCCAATCAACGCTACTATATTTATTGCTATTACTTCAAAAATTTTCGTCCAAATCAACATTTTTAAAATTAATCGAAACAATTCTTTTCCGGAAAATTTCAAATACTATTTTCTTTTAAAATTATATTATCCAATGATCATTGTAAATTAAATAATATGAATTTTCGTTATTTCAAATTAATTTGTTAATTAGTTGTTTTATGGAGGCTAGTCTATGGGAATTATGTTGATTTATGGATTTTGTATTATGTTAATTAGTCGTTATATATATGTATATGTATATTTTTTTCTAATTTGTTAAGTAATTGTTTTACAAAAAACTTTCAGTTTTTTTTTTTTTTTTTTTTTATTGTCAGAAGGATATATATATCGGTCATATGCAAAAGATAAATGTATTAGTTAGACTTGAACAAATCCGATGATAAAACCTTCCAAATAAGTTGATTGAAACAGACTGAATTAAAATGACATAGCATTTATTGAATTGAAATTGATTATTCCTGTTTGTATTAAAATATTTTGCTTACAATTATTGTTATGACAAGTAGTAATTTCGATAAAATGATTTTAGTTAATTTTTAATTTTTTACTTTTCTCTTTTTGTTTGTTTATCTATTTTTCCAACTTTTAGTTTGTATCTTTTACTTTTGTTGCAATGAAATATTTTACTATAAAATTTGACCATTTCAAATATCATATTTACTACGAAATAAATATTATTATTATTATTATCATTTAAACAAATTTACAATCATTTTATCTTTCATTCTTTTTTTTCCACATTTTCGAATAGTTTTGTCAATTGTTATTATCCAATTTAATGATAAATTAATTGAAATATTACATATTAATAAATGTTTAATCTTTAGCCGTTTATGCCTATTCCTTGTAAAATTGTAAAAATTATACTATTTTAGATTGTAAATTGCTCAATTGAATTTTCTCAAATCAAATGATTAATAAGAAAAGAAAAACGGAAACAATGAAAAGTGTGTCACAATCGGCATCCAAAACAGTCATTTCGTACATTTATAAACTCATCCAGACTAATAAATTTTCTCACCTGATTGCGCTTATTTATGATAACATTTTGGAAAATTCCAATAAACCATTCTTGAATAAGTTTGTTTCAATCATTTTTATTAAAATACAATTTAATCATTACCATTATTTATATACGTAATATAATTTAGTTATTTCCATTTGCGTTATTTTATAGTAAAATTATAATTTTGCTATAAAATGTGCAATAAAATTATTATTTCATATATTTATAACATTTATCGTATTGTTATTCAGAAAATTTTCTTTTTCACACTGAAACAAATGATAAGTTCTTAAAACAATTCGATAGAAAAAAAAAAAGAAAAAAGAAGCATTCAAAAGTAAGAATTGCAATTAATCGAAAGACGTGATTAATAGAATAGTGAGAATTATTGAATGAAATATTTCCAATTTATTATATTTTTTTTAGAGAGTTTCACTTATCATTGTGCGTAATGCATTATTATTTTTATT